TTATTTAAATATTTTAAATATTAAAAAAAATAGATCATAACTAAATTTATGCTATTTTTAAGCTAAAATTGTTACACTAACTCTACAACTTAAGAGATAGCATTTATTAAAGCTGGTTCTGAATCAGTAAATATACAAGCAGGAGAAACATTATTTGGTACTTCAAGAATGCAATTGAGAAACCACTCGTAACTTTTTGTTGTTTCATTATCTGATAAGCATTGAGCAACGAGTTGGGTTTTAGTATTATTATTAACGATGACCAGAAGAGTTAGATACATGTTGAACCAATTGGTTCGACATGTATTGTCCATTTGCACTATATCATTATATTATATCAGATACTGTTGTTGAGTTGGAGATGCCCAAAACAATCCTGCAAATTGATTATCGAATAGGTCAAGCCTTGTTTTAATTATCCAGCCTACTTCTTTTTTTTGCAAATCAAGCAGTTTATTAACCATATACTGAGCGTCTCCCTGGCATTTGGTAAGAGATGCCTTAAATTTCTGAATTGCATTATAAAGGTCTCGCTTGCCTATTATTTGATCTGGAAAACTTGTAACTAGTAAGTGATAGATTTGTTTTGATCCCATGTTTCCTTTGGTGACATAGAACTTAATTTGGTCTATTATCTCATTTGATAGTCTGCGGTATTTGGGAGCATACAAAGTTATATCAGGAACCATAGGATGGTTATGCTGTCCAATGATACTTGTAATGCCTACTTCCAATAAGCTTTTAGGCTTTGTAAAGTTTATATACCATGGGCATCTGATTTTTCTAGATGGCCGTTGACGTTGTTGTGTTGGATCAATTACTTGATTTGAAATAGACTCTCCCGAAAAGCTACACTCAAATGTTCGTCAAAAAATGACTCCATTATTATCAGCTTCAACCCATTTACGGCGTATACAAAATCCAACAAACCTAGTATATTGATTAAGGTGAGTTTTTGCAATTTTCCAAGAAAAAAAAGTGTCACCAGCTTTAATATTAATAGTATCATCATAAGTAGTACTTGGTGATTCTACGCTTTCTTGTGATGATTCTGTATGAAAGCTTTGGTTATCCACGAAGTTCTCATCTTCAAAGTTATTATTAAAAGGATTATCGTTATATTCTACCGCGGCATTATCATAATTTTCCATGCCATTAGAAAAATACGTTTGGAATTCTTCATAGCTATCAGCATAAAAGCCTAAAAGAATTTAAAACAAGGTAGAAAAGGTAAAAATATGAAACATGAAAGTCACTATAATTTCACTACTTGTTATAATCAGATATTCGTTACGTTTTACTGCAGCATTATTATCATTTTTCAAAGCACTTTCTGAAAGGTATGTTTGAAATTCTTCATTATTATCAACATAAAAGCCTAAAAAAATTAGAACAAAATAAGAAAAGGTAAAAAAAAAATATGAAATGTGAAAGCTACTACGTCAATTCCACTATTTACTTGTCACTGAATTTTCACTACGTTTTACTGCGATATTATTATTCTTTTTCACAATGCTGTACATTTGAAATTCTTCATTATTATCAATGTAAATGTCTAAAAAAAATTAGAACATGGTAAGAAAGGTAAAACGTGAAAATCACTGAATTAATTTCACTACTTGTCATCAGATTTTTATTATGTTCTACTGCGGCATTAATGTTCCCTTCCATGATGTCGTACGTTTGAAATTCTTCATTACTATCAATATAAAAGCCTAAAAAAAATTAAGAACAAGGTAAGAAAAGTAAAATAAATATAAAATGCGAAAACCACTACATTAATTTCACTATTTACTTGTAATTAGATTTCCATTCCAGTTTACTGCGGTATTATTATCAGTTTCCACAACACTTTTAGAAAAGTATGTTTGTAATTCTTCATTATTATCAACAGAAAAGTCTAAAAAGAATTCAGAACAAGGTAAGAAAAGTAAAATAAATATGAACTGCAAAAGACACTACATTAATTCCACAAAAATAAATCCAAGACAAAAAAGTATTATACTATTTACTTGTCATAATCAGACATTTTACTGCAGCATTATCATCACTTTCCATAATACTCTTAGAAACGTATGTTTGAAATACTTCATTACTACCAACATAAGAGCCTAAAAAGAGTTAGAACAAGGTAAGAAAGGTAAAATAAATATGAAACGTGAAAGTCACTACATTAATTTAACTATTTACTTTTCATAATCAGATTTTCAAAGTCTACTGCGGCGTTATTTTGAGGTAGGAACGTCCCAAATATGGAAATCATTCCGGCATGGTTATACAAACGTTAAAGTAATTTTTTATTAATTTTTTATATATTATACAATACTTTTTTAGGAAGTTCGGGTTACATAACTCATCTATCAAATGTGAGCAACTTCACTAAGCAAACTTCAAGCTTTCGTGCTGTATTATAATATATTCAAATAATCCCTATTAATTCCACAACTTTTATAATACAATTTGTCAAGTGAAAATATGTCTGAAATTAAGCAATGCGGCCAATACAAAACTACTGATTTGAAAAAATTTCATTCAGTTCAGGGAGAAAAATAGAAAGAACTTGAGCGTAAGAACTTAATACCAAAAGATCAAGAGGTAACATGGAAGAAAGGTATTGTTGTGTGTAATAAATGTTATATGAAATATGTAGAAAATCCACTACAAAAAAGTACTAAACGAGTAAAAGTCTCAGCTGAAAAAAATATAGATATAATTATGAGAGAAAAGATTGAAGCTACAATTAGAAAAGCAACAGAAACATCAAGAAATGAGAGAGAAGAGGTAGAGATTGTAAATGAGGAAGAGGTAAGTATAGTTGATCTTGTTGGAGCTATTACAGCAATAGCAAAACTTTTTTATAAAAAAAAGCATGTAAAGAAAGAAGGCCCCATGTATTCGTATAATGAAATGCACGAGGCATTTCAAACGAATAAGGTTCTAAAAGATTTTCTTGACCAGCTTTATCTTGCAGCCAAGCCTCTTGAACGCATTGAGAAAACTATGGATCGTATAAAAAAATTAATCTTGTATATATGTTATCTTCTTGCATTGTTAAATAATACAAAAATTAATGCTTTTAAGTTCGACCTAGCATATTACTTGGATTTTGTAGATATGAGTAATGAAGAGTTAGATACGATGGCAACTCTTGGTGTAACTACAACATCAAAAGCAGTAGATAAGAGAAAAAAAAAGCTTCAGATGCATATGAGGAATATGTTAAAAATGCCCTTTCAAAATTTTCCGGCAATGCTTTTGTGCTAAACGTTGATGATTATCACAATATTCACATTCCACAACAGTCTGACTCTACTAGTATGTCTCGTCCAGCACATATGGCAACTATTATAGCAAATTCATGCCCCATACCAGCAATACTATGTAATGGAGCATTCAACCCCAAATTCATCGATAGTGAACTGATCATAAAACACCTTGATGAATGGTTCATTATAAACCTTGATATTCCTTATTATGAACATACATGGGGCTACATAGGTGAGTGTTCTGATGATGAGCTTATAGAGAGACTAACTTTGCATAGCTACAATGACAGGTTAGTGGGAAAAAAAAGCGATCGACATATACAGAATATTATTCTCTTTGATTTCGTTGAAGACAATCTGAAAAGTGTAGAAGATTATACAAAAGCCCTCCGAATTGTGTATAACCAAGAATTAATGCAAGAGTATCTTTCTAATCACATAATTCCTGTCATCGCGGATTGGCCTGGTCAGTTCTTCATTCGTAAAGCTATTATATATCAGCTTCTTCTTAACAATGAGGTCATTCCTTCATTCATTATGTCGTTTATACCTATAATAGGACCTCTTCATATGTCTTTAAATGGGCATGAACTCGTTTTTTTAAAAAATTCGCCTCTATTTAATGATATTTATAAAGGTATTTTTGAAAAAAATAAAAAGCTTGGTAATAAGCCACGACCATGGCGAATTGACTTAATTCTTTATCTTATATGTATGGCGTGGCTTGATATTTCAAATGTTGTTTATTCAAAATTTGGTCACATATACAAAAATATTGAGTTTTTATATCTAACCAATCTTTTGAGTAATTTAATTCCTTTAGTACTCGACGTTTATGCAGTGCATCATCGAGAAGGAAACTGGCAAGCCTATGAAGAAGCATATATACGTTGCTGGAGTGATCTCTTTCTTCGATTTGATCGAAGAAACTATAAATGTGCTCCTTTATTATTTTTTTCTGATATTTTTTTTTGGAGAGATACTAAACATCCAATAATAGATATTATTACTAATTAGCTTGCATCTTTAAGTGATTGTCTAGTAGAAACCGTTCACAGTATAATTCAACGTCATATGGCTAAGTTTTTCACAGCAGATCAATTGCAAAAAGAAGCACAGTTTATATTTCAGAATCGAGAAGACAACATCTTCCATCAATATTTTGTAAATTCTATGAAATATCTGTACAAACCAAAGCAATTGCACATACTATCCCAGAAGTGTGCCGTAGTACTTTTGGAGATGTTTACAAAAATATATCAAGCGCATCATCTGTATCCTTTAATTGATAGTTCATCTGACGATAATATTTACATGTACACGTTGCTTTCTTTAGGTTATGTTATAACTAATCGTCATCTTCCAAGGGGTTTTGTTACTGCAAGAAAACTATTTACAAATGTTTTATGTGATTATCGGTTTTGTGATTGTACTAACTATACTAATTGTTTGAATGATGGTAATGTTCTTTCATGTGGGCACGGCTATCATAGCCGTTGCTTGCAAAGATACAATTTTAAATGTTTAATTTGTTTAGATTTTCTCAAGAAAGAAATTAATAGGAATGTTGAAGCGCTTAAAGAAAGTATGACGAAAAATTTAGGTGTAAATAAATTTATTGTTGAGAATATTGAAAGTGTAGATGAGGATGATTCAGATGATGTGAACACGGCAACAGGTGATATTGAAGCGACGAACAATTTATTAGAGCAAGCGAAAAAAACTTTTGTTAAATTATAATTTTTTTATTTTATTTTATTAAAAAAAATTGTACAATGTATTATAATAATTTTTATTAAAAAAAAAATAAATATTAAATAATAAATTTTTTTTCTATTAAAAAATTAAATTATGTATCATAATAAATATATATTTTTTATTAAAATTTTATTAAATATCGTATACCAGTAATTATTATAATTATTATATAATTATTATAATTATTATATAATTATTATAATTATTATATAATTATTATAATTATTATAATTATTATAATAGCAGTAGAATAGTGGGCTTTTTAGGTACACGGTTGTGTTTTTTTTTGATAACACTATTCATTCTTGTTTTTTTTCAAGTTTTTATCATATTCTTGATAACTTATAAAACTTATATATAACATATAAAAAACTTACATGAATGGTGTATTTTTATATATACTTCACGCTTGGTGTACTTTTTTGATATCTATTTCGATTACTATTTAGCTTTCTATTACTAAGGAGTACACTCCCCTAAGGGTGTACAACGCAGTTGCAGAGTGAAGCGGAGCATAGTTATCATATTTAATTTCTATTAGTTTTTTGTACTGGAGGAGCATAGCGACTCCGAATACGAAGTGTAGCGTAGCATTAGTTATCTGTTTAATTCACAATTAGTTTCTTAATACTAAGGAGTATACACCTTAGGTGTGAGCGATGCAGTTGTAGAGTGAAGCGGAGCATAGTAATCTTTTAGTTATCAATTAGGTTTCTATGGTAAAAAAAATCGTTAAATTTTATTGTCTTGCAGGCCTGAAGGATGACTCAAAGAGTCATAGGTGGTCTTCAAGCATCTGAAGTTGTCGAGCATAAAATTGCATGACATAATATCCTTTAGAATGTTTTTTGCAACGTCCACAAGCAGAAGCTGTAGGTTTTCCACAATCATCACATAAAACACGTTTTTTAGATCTCCAATATTCATGGCACCCTTCAGGATGTCGACACCCACGTCCGCAGACTTCTCCAGAATTGTGTATATATTCGCATGTATATTTACCCCCTGACTTTTCAATATATTTACCTCTCTTGATATATTCACTAAACATTTCAATAAATGAATAATTATTTTTTATTTAAACAAAAGATCTGATATTAATAAAAAACACCAAAAAAACATATTACTATAGCTAAGATACTTAAATGTCCAGGTTGTGATTGAGAAATAAAAACTGGTAAAACTTAAGATCTTAATAAACACATAAATTTAAATGGAAACCTTCATAAAGGACAATGCCAACCAGCTTTGCTTATAATACAAAATGTAGGAAACGTTACTTCAAAGCAAAATACACCTCAAACTGAAAATGTTGCTCCAGAGCAAAATCCGCTATCAACTCCTGAAGGTGATCTCATATCGTTCAATGAAAACCCACCAACACTTCAGCTGAGAGAGGCAAGTGCGCCGGCAGTCGACCCCCGGATAAGAGAATCAGAAATGAGTCAAAGACTCGAAGCTCAACATCCTTGATACTCTGCATCATCTAGTTCAAAGCAAAATAGCATGAGTTACCAAGATAAAACCATCTTAATTCATAAAAATATA